TCACGAAGGTTCGAGAGAACGAGTGGCGTGACACTAGTCACGTGACCTCGCTGACGCAACAGTTTTATCGTTCCAAAGCCCGCAGACTGTATCAGTGTATGCCCAAACTCGACATGAAGCCCAACGAATATCAGCTCCTTGTACGATCAATCTCCCAACGAAGTAAAGCTGAAAATCTTCCTGTGGAGTACGGTGACCTAAAGCCAATTTAAGTGTGAGAATAGAACATATAACCTCCGAACTAGTAACTTAGAACTAGAATTCATAACGCAAAACGAATAACAAATCACAACTGTGTTGGCAGAAGCAAAGAAAAAGTTTTGTCATGAAGTAACAAGTTCCGTAACCGGGTAGAAGTATAAAATAATTCCACTTCGCAATAACAAGTTACAAATATCAACATTGTATAATAAAAGGTAAACTTGTTGAGAGAAATTAATACAAAGACAATGAAAAAAGTAAAACAAAACACTTGAAGAGAACATAAACTAAACGTAAGAATACTAGCACTGCCAAACAAGAAGCGATAGTTTGGAAGAATTGAATACAGCGAGTCACATACATCAAGAGAATATATCCCACTCTTATTGGTGGAGAGTTGTTGCGTGGTGATTTGCATGCGAGAAGTGTTGAAATCAGCCGATTCCAGATGTGGGAGATTTAAAGCTTATGGCATATGCAAATTTTTTTATTTTATTTTTTTTTTGCGTAGAGAAAGCAGCACTGCACGAGAATAGTTATTTATGTGAGAGAGGTAATGTACTGTATCGGAATCTAAAATGACGTTTATATTGACTGTTTGACAAGTAAATATTGAATTTAACGAACATGGTAAGTATGTTAAGTTCAACCAAATAATATACAAATAAAAATATGAATACGATTAATATACATGATCATTTCTAATACTTTAAATTCAGAATTCCTGATCAGCGAAGGACTCGATTTCACATGTGATTTAAATCAATATTTTTCACAATATTGCTTTCTATGGTGCTACCCTTAAAATTCAACATTTCTTAAACATTCTTCCCTTGGGTAAAATTACAAATGTGAAAGATTAAGCTATACTTGATAGTAACGAAGCATGGACTTGAAAAATTTAGTCCGAAACTCAGTTACATACGTCTTAAAATACAACCTTTATCAACGATAAAATTCATAACAAAACTCACCTATGTGAGAATTAACACGTTGAAACCAATAAAAAATGAAACAAATGGTAAGTATCAGAAAGAATAATACATTACACCAGGCCAGTGCATTGTCTAATAAGGGGCTAAATTGAATTTTTCTCCAAAAAAAGACAAAAAATTCATAAGATAATAAAAATATTTGTATTTCATCAAAATAATTGCACTTGATAAAAATACAAACAATGTAAAACTATAAGTATTATATTCTTAATGCCTACAGAATGACTGTTGCCAAACCCGATAAAAAACACTTTTGATGAAATCGTGAAATATAGAACTCACATAGGAATGTGAACAAAAAACTCGACTCGATTTCTTGGTCCCCTGGTGAGACAACAATTTGTCAAATCAGTCCGAAGTCTACAGGGCTAGGTTTAGGACTAGAGTCCGTGCTAAAGGTGAGAGCCTGCAAGAGCTGGCACAAGACTTGGAAAGTATGGCACACAAGGCTTACCCAATTGAACCACCCAATGTCTTCAAGTTGTTTCTGAGGGATCAGCTTGTAGATGCCTTAGACAGTC